TGCTGGCGCGCTCCGGGCTGAGGAACACTAGTGGACAGGGAGGGCCGTGTCGCCTGTAAGGCCTCGGCACCTCCTGCTCTCCCGCTACCGGGCAGGATCTGCTCTTCCCCACGCAGCAAGAACCCTCCCACCTCGTGCCCGGCTCCCTCGTGACCCCAAAGTGACCAGGCCCTAGGCACCCTTCTGTGTGGAAGTCCACGTGCCCCATCCCGCCGCCCCCAGCCTCCTGCCTGTCCCCCAGAGCTTCACGTGGCTGCCCAAGCCCTCCCTCACCTCTCCCTGCTCTGGAGTCCTGGGGCTGCTGCCTCCTGGCCCCCCCCCGCCCCCAGCCCCCACAAGGGCTCAGATGCCGTTAAGTGGGGAGCGGCGGTGCTGCTGTGAGCACAATTATGAAGTCCTGGGACACACACACACACGCACGCGCGCATGCACACTTTCAAGAAATAGTACTTATTACAACATTTTTACTTGGTTTCTGTTCCATTTCACTTCAAAACCCACTGGATTGGTCTGTGACTCTCGAAAGACTCACGACGGGCCCGCTGAAAAGTGGCTGTGTCTCTCCCGCTCTCCCTCCTGCACTCTCCCGCTCTCCCTGGAGGCTGGGGCGCCCAGACGCTTTCTCGCCCCACACTCCCCTCTCTGCCTTCCTGCCCAATCAGAGGCGGCCCCCAGTTGCCGTCCTGGGTCCTGGTCTCCCCGTGGGCAGGCCCTCCGCTCAGAACGTCTCCCCACGCGCAGCACTGGACCCTGGACCAGCGCTGGGCTGCCGCGCCTCGGCACAGCTGGCTCCCCTGCTCCTTAAGCCGGCAGTGGGCCCCTGGGTGGCTCGGTTGGTTGGGCCGCTGCCTTCGGCTCTGGTCGTGATCCCGGAGTCCCAGGATCGAGTCCCGCATCGGGCTCCCAGCTCCACGGGGAGTCTGCTTCTCCCTCTGACCTCCCTTCTCATGCTGTCTCTCACTCGCTCTCTCTCTCAAATAAATAAATAAGATTTTATTAAATCTTAAAAAAAATAAGTAAAGCTGGCAAATGGGGCTCACCTGCCCATGTCTCTGAGTTGCGTTAGCTTGAGGTGGGTACACACTTAGTGCTCAATAAACGTTTGCTTCACTCCCACCTCAGGTTGCTTTCCTGCCCAAGGCAACGTGGGCGTCACCCCAAGTTTGACTCCAAACTCGAACTTGTCTGTGGACACCCCTTCACCCCAGAGGTCCGCCCGCTCCTGAGCTCGTGGGTCCCTCCCCGCTCCCATCTTCTCGCTTCCCACCGCCTCCGTGGCCTCGCACGCAGGGATCCCGCTGCCTGCCCCACCTGCCCCTCTCAGCCAGGGCAGGAACAGCCCCCGGCCCCCAACCTGCCCCGGGGCCACTGCTCCCCTGCCCTGTCTTCTGGCTTGGTTCTGCTTCCCCTTTTTTTGGCCTCTTCTCTCTGGACAGCCTGGAAGGTGCAGAAAACCCAGCTCTGTCCAGCCTTGAACCAGGCACCCTGTGCCCCTGCCCAAGCCAGCCCAGTGGGGGAGGCTTCCATCTCACTCTCTTCCTGCCACTGAAGCTCCTCTCTGCTGTGACCCCCGGGCCCCCCAGCTCGCTCTGGCCGTGGGGGGGCACGTCTCTCTGTCTCTCTTGGTCTCTCCCTCCTTCTCTGTCCATGAGCGTCTGTGTGTGACCCCTGTCTGCCGTCTGACTCCCCACCTGTGCCTGGCGTCAGGCTACCCTTGGCTGAGGCACCAGGCCTGGCCGCGTCATACCACGGGAGCCCCTGTGCCTCACTGGATTTGGGGCATCAGCCTGCCCCCGCCCTCCCTCCTTCTCCCTGAGGGCCATCTCTGCGATATGCAGAGCAAAGGGAAGCTTACCGCCGCCCCCGGGGAGCAGGACACCTGCCAGGGAGGCGCCAAGCAGAACAAGACACAGTGGGCCCGCCATGGTGCGGCTGAGGACAGTGCGTCCGTCCTGCCGTGACAGGTCCCTAGGGCAAGGTTCAGTCGCCCTGGCTCCAGGCAGCTGGTGGCCTTTCTCTTATCACTGCTTCCTGATTGGAGCCGGGGCTGCAAGGGGGCTGGGGGCAGGTGACCCCGCGGGCTGTGGCCACCCTGTCGCTGGGGCCCGGGGAGGTCCCGGGAGTTCATCCTCGTCACTTACGGCACCCAGGGGGCACGGGGACTGTTAGGAGACGATGAGCGTCATTTCCTAGCTTCCAGATGTTCCGTCTGCTCTGGGTTCATCCTTACGAGCATGACGAGAGCCGAGTGTCATTGCCCGTCTGTCCTCTGGGTGTAGATGGTCAGCTGCGGCCGCCTGACGCCCACGTGGGCCTCGAACCGGGACCTCTCGTGGCCTCTGTCTCTGGGTGGTGTCCGCAGTGCACAGAGCCCCAAGGGGTCCTGGTCCCCATTCCGCCCGCACATCAGGCTGGTCCCCTCCCCTCCAAGTCCTGGGGCTCCAACTGGCAGGTGTGTGCATCTGGGCCATGGGCTCCTGCACACACACTTCTGGGAGGACCCCCCTGCCCACCGTGGCCCGTGCCAGCCAGATGAGCCCGAGATCTCCACCCAGGCACCACGCTGTGGAGGCACCTGGAGGCGCGTAAGCGGGCGGGGGCCCAGCTCCTGACGGGGGCTTCGCCTCGCACACCCTCCGAGGGGGCCTCACAGCACTTCTGTTTCTCTCTCACAGCAAGGCCTGTCTGGCCACCGGGAGGGGACATGAGGACCGGCTACCCCACGGCCTGTCCACAGCCCCTTGGGAGGCACTGGACGAGCCCACTGCCCGCAGTACGTGGGGGCCTCCCCTGCTTGGCTTCCGCCCTGGGGTGGTCCCACACAGGGGCTCATCCCCTTGGAACACATGGCAGCACCTGGAACAGCTCAGGTCTGTGCCTGTGGAAAGCAGCTCAGCCCATGGTGGTCAGGCTGGGCAGGGAGGTGTGCGGGCTGCACAATGGGTGCAGGGCCCCTTGGCGGGGATGTGGGGGGTGGGGGAGAGACAGGGAGAGAGACAGGGAGGGAGACAGGGGCAGAGAGACACAGAGACAGGGAGAGAGAGATAGAGAGGGACCGAGATAGGGGCAGAGACGGGCAGAGAGGGACATAGACAGGGAGAGAGAGGGACAGAGACAGGGTCAGAGACAGAGACAAGGAGAAAGAGGGAGAGAGACAGGGCCAGAGACAGAGCCAGAGAGGGCAAGAGACCACCGTGCACCACAGCGCCCGGGACGCCTGATGCATGCTGCACATGGCGAGTGGCCACCGACGCCCACGGTCGCCTGGCCGTCAGCCTCACTCTGTCTGTGCCTGCTGGCTCCTGCTCTGTCCCAGGGTCTGCAGCGGTGTCTGGCACACAGTAAGTGCTCAACAAACTGGACAGACTGAAGGCGCCAGGGTCAGAGGCCGGTCTGCGGGGCCATGGCCGCTCCGTGCAGAACCAGGGCCCCGGAGAGCCTGCAGGGGTGACACGGCCTGTCTCTGTGTGTGCGATGTGGTCCCTGGTGCATTCCGCGTGCTGGGAGACTGGATCTGGGGTGAGCCCCTACCTGTCCCCAGCCCCCAGGGGATGCTAGAGGACAGGAGACCCATGCGCGGAAGAGAGAGGTGGGGGGTAGCCGGCCACGTGCGGGCACGTCGGGTGGGCTAGACTTTAGCGATTGTCCAGCGTCGCTGGCTACCCGTGCCGTGGCAGCTCTGTGAAGTGGGGGCCCGCATCTCCCACCGATGGCTGGGGAAACCGAGGCAGAGCCAGCAGCCCCAGGATCCCTTTTAGCCCTGTGTGCATCTGGATGGGCTCCCAGGGTAGCCCTTCAGCCCAGCCTCCCTTTTCTTTCCAGCACAGGGTCCGAGCCGCGAATCGGAGGACGCCAGAGGCTCGCAGACGGGCTTCCCCAGCGTGACATGACAGAGCCCTCCCAGGAGCCTCCTTTCACGTGTCAGGACCCGTCCTGGTGACCAGAGTCAGGGCTCCCATTTGCACACTGGGAGCCGCAGCTCCGAGCGGGAAAGCGGCTTGGCCAAGCGCAAGGGGCCGAGCTGGTCTGGGACAACGTGGCACACGCCCACCCCCCCGAGCCCTGGCCACGTCTGCCTCTGGGGACAGAGGATGGTCTCCGTCCTCACGGCTCTGTGCTGCCATTCTGAGTGGCCGAGGACGCCATGTAAGGAAGGCACGTGTCCCGGTAACGGAACACGGCTTGATCGCTCAGCCCGCAGGTTCTGGTGCCTGATCATACCGCTGCTGAGCACTGGTGGCGCTCCAGGGACCGTCCCCCCACGTATGTCCCAAGAGGGGGCTGGCGCCCGAGGGCTGTGCTCCTCCCCACTGGCGCGTTCGGGAGGCCCCGCTGCTGCGTCAGCTGCCCCCACGGACAGCTTCTTTCTCAGTCCACAGCCCGCGTGACTTGAGGCTGAGCAGGCCCCACCCTGAACGGCTGATAAAAGGTCACTGGGTCCTTCCCCCGATCAGGCTCGCGGGGCGGGACCGAGGAACCTGGTGTTCCCTGGGCCTCTCCTGGAGGACCATCATCGGCCTCGTTGGGGGGAGAACACCCAGCCCTGTGGTGTTTGGGGAACCCTCGGGGTGCTCTTGGATTCGAACACCAGCCTTCACGGAGGAAGGCTCATCGCTGGGGCGCTGTGAGCGGGAGAGCAAGACCGGCTCCAGGACAAGCGCCAGGGTCTCGGCGGGGGGAGCGTGAGCACACCGTGGAGGGCGGGCAGCCCCAATGTGCGCACAGGGCTGCACCGTTACCATGATATGGCAGAAGCTACGTGTACAGAAAGATCTGGAAGGCTCGCCGCCGACGCGAACGTGCTTCCAGACCATGACACAGAGTGGACACGTCGTCGAGAGAAAGGCCTGGACGGTAACGGCGGCCCCCGGGCAGCAACCCACACTGCGTGTGCACCACAAGGGTTGCCAGGCGCGCGAGGCCCTCCAGAAGCGGCGCGGCCGTCCCCCCTGCCCCGTCTCCCACCCCTCGCCCCCAGGAAGTGCAGGGGTGTTTCTGGATTCGAGGGAGAGGCAGGCAACAGCTTTATTCCCGGGGGGCGCTGGGCCGAGGCTAGGGCAGTGGGGCCCGGAGAAGGCCTTGCAGGGTTGTGTTGGTGTTCATGAGCCTGCGCAGCCACTCGATGTACCGGGAGACCCTGGTGTACACCCCGAAGTGGCCTTCGGCCGCACAGCCCTCCCCCCAGCTGACAAGGCCCGTCAGGTACCAGGTGCCCTGGAACTTGGTGGCGTGCGGGCCCCCGCTGTCCCCCTGGCAGGCGTCCTTGCTCCCGTCCAGGTAGCCGGCACAGAACATGTTCTCGGTGACGGCGGGCGAGCCCTCCCACTGGCGTGACTGCTCCTGGCAGTCCTGGGTCATCACGCGGGGCACGTCGATGGCCATGAGCTGGACGGCCGTGGCGCCCCTGTGCAGCAGCTGGCCCCAGCCACTGACGGTCGAGAAGCGGACGGAGGCCAGCGTCCTCTCGGAGAAGGTCTTCTCGGGCAGACACAGGGGCACCACGTGGTCTGTGAAGGTCACGGGCCTGTTCAGCTGCAGCAGAGCAATGTCGTGGTTCGTCTTGCCGGGGACGTACTTGTCGGGGACGAAGATCCGGGCCACACGCCGCTCCTGCTCCTCGCCCTCCTGCTTGCAAAGGTCGTGCTCCCCTGCCAGGGGACCAGCCGCACTCACGCCCTGCCCTGCATCCAGCCCTGGCCAGCGGGAGCGGCTGCCCCAGGCGGCCACCTGCAGGCTCTGCACGGGCTGTGAATGGGGTGATTCTGGGCTGCTGGCGGGTGAGGAGGCGCCTGATGGCCTCTGTGTTTCCAGACCCTCCTCAGTGTCTTACAACCCGCCAGGCGGAGGGCGCCTGCTGTGGCCCACGGGACTCTGGGGGCTCTTGGCCTAAGTGAGATGGGACTGGACCACGACGTCCGGGACTTGACATGGGTGGGACAGAGGCTGCAGCACGGTGGCCACGGTGGGACCCAGGGCCCTGCAGTCTGCCCAGACACGCTGGTCTGGCCTGGCCGTGGAAGCCGGCTCCGTTCACACGTCCTTGTCCAGGTGTGTGTGTGTTGGGTGGGGGGCACAGAACCTACCCAAGACCACCGTCAGGTTTCTCCAGTTCTTCCGGGTTTCGAAGCAGTGCGCGGCGGAGACCACCCAGGCAGCGTCGAGTAGGGTTCCCCCGCACAGCAGCGCCCCGTCCACCGTCAGGATAGCCTGGACGGGCACCACACAGAGGTCATGTCCCCATCACGCTTCCCTGGGGACCCGCCTGCCCAGCGAGTGGCAGCCATAGAGAGCTCGTGGACACCTCAGGAGAGCCTGACCATGGGACGCCCAGTATCACCCCCCAAGCTGGACCCGGCGCCCCGGTCCACAGAGGCCGGCCCAGGGTCGCGCTCCCGGGCACGCGGGGAGAAAGGCCTCAAGGTGACCGAGCCGGGTTCTCGGCGCGCAGGTAGATCTCCGCAAGCGCTTCCCGTCCTTCCTCCCGAAAGCACGGAGTGTGCCTGAGCGACGAGCGGAGAGACACCTCCCCTGTGCTGGCTTTTCCACGGCGCTGGAAGGAGCCGGAGTCTCTGGCTGGCCGGCCTGTGGATGGGGACGAGCTGGAGGGCCAGAGGGAGGCCCGGCTGTGGGTGAGGCAGGTTGCTGTGTGCTGTGGTGAGGCAGCCGCCAGGAGGAAAGAGGCCGGACGTGGCGCGTCGGAGGCCTGATGTCCCAAGTGTGGACGGCAGGACTGAGGTTGCCAGGACCTGCCCCCTCCTCCCTCGAGCCAGCAGCTGCTGGGCCCCTCAGAGAACTCTCCTCCCGAGCCGGGTGACAACAGTGGCCTGTGGATCGGTGGCACAGCCCTGCCCGCTGAAGGCAGGATGTCGGCACCTGAAAACAGCCAGCCTGGCTGACCGCGGTTCTGTGCTGCCCCCGGGGCTGGCGGGGTCTGGGGCGGCTGTTCCAGCTGCATCTGGGCCTGAATCTCAATGGGCCTCAGTTTCCCCCCTGGTAACATGGGTGAGGCGGCCCTCTCTCTTGGGGGAGGGGGTGAATGGTACTGAGGGGTCCCGGGTGGGAGCACGTGCTGGCTTCAGCCCCCAGGACGGCCATCCTGGGTCTCTCTGACCGAAACACAGAAACCCACCCTCTTCGGCCTGCCCTGCCTCCCAGAGACACCGCCGACTCCGGGCACGCTGTGGAACCCGCCTGGCCCATCCAGGTGTGTCCCGCTCACAGTATCCCTCTGAACACCAAACACGGGGCTCTGCCCCGCGGAGGAGAGGGCCCTGGCCCCACGCAGGCTGCCTGCCCACCAGTGGGAGGTGGGATGGGGTGGGGGCGGGCCCGCGGGGCCTGAGCTCCTGGGGCTGCAGCAAAGCCGGGCACTGGCTGCTCTGAACCTGCCTTGGTGCCACGGGTGGGCCTGACGAGGTTCTCATACGTCGAACATTCTGGGACAGTTTATGTGTGTCCCCACATGGAGGGTCCTGAGGACCCCGGGGTGGGACTCAGACGCCTGAGTGCGCACATCCCGCCCTTGCGAGGTGGGGGTTTGGGCCCAGGGAGCCTGGGGGCCGGAGGCTCTGTATCTCCAGCAGGAAGCAGGCCCACCGACGGCCCCAGGCTCCTGACCGCACCCGTGCATGCCTGCTGGACGGCGGGGCGCACCTCGAGAATCCCGGCTGCCAAAGGCTGGTGGGGGTGGGGCTTGGGCTGGGTTCAAGCCCTGCTTTAGCCATCTGTCCCGGAGGCCTCGGTTCCCTTGTCTGTGGAGACCAGTGAGGCCAGCAACCCCGAGGGAGAGGTGGGAGGCCAGAGCTGAGCTGACATCGGACAGACAGAGGGGAGTGGGTAGGTGTGGGCTTCAGAATGAGGGGCAAGTGCCCTGCCCCAGTAGGGGTCCAGTGGCTGACCGCCCACTGTCCCTTTGAGGGCCTCAGAGCCTTACCTGCCAAGGACACTCCCCTTTGGGGCACACCCTGCCACCCACAATCCGGCCTTGGGGGTTGCTGCCATTTCTCTTCTCCAGAACAGGGATCTTCCCACACGGGTATTCCACTGCGGAAAACAAGACGTCGGGCCGGGGATTCATGCCTGATGATGAGCTGGTGAGGGCTGGGCTCCGAGGGCTGCCCGGGGAAGGGCCACCCATGCGGAGCTCCTGCAGGAACGGAGGTCCCTCCCTCTGGAAGTTGGGCTCTGCTCATTCCCCAGGGGAATGACGGGCCGCCTTCCTGACAGAGGAGGCTGACCGGCCCTTGCACGGCGGTGCTGCCGTTTGGGGCACGCTCTGAGCTTTCCATCTCCCCAGTAAGGTCCCGGGGCTGGAGGAGGGACGGTTTAGACACAGTGGCCCAACTCTAGGCTCTAGCCTGGCTGGGGTCCACCTTGCTCTGGGCACACAGGCCTCCGGTGCCCCTGCCGTTGGAACTTAGTCTGAGACCAGTTTGGGAAATGTCCGTTTCCCTAACAGAGCTTGCCTTCAGGAAGACCCGGACTCTGGACCGAGCCGTGGTGGAGCTGGGAGCCGGACCCGCGACGGGGCAGGCGGAGCCTCCCGCTACTGCCCCCGAAATCAGGCAGGCGGCCCCGTCCCTCCAGGGAGCTGTGCCCGGGCTCTGTCCTGCCCATGGCCGCTGCGGCCGGCTCCCGAGGTGACGTAGTAGGTATGTCTCTCACCAGACAGCTGTGGCCGTGCAGGAACAGGGGCTGCTCCTCGGGAACAAGCAGAACACAGCCCTGTAGCTGGCCCCTGAGGACCCATTACCTGTGGGCGCGCAGGACACCCCGTCGTCTTGGAGTGTGTACCCCTCGTGGCAGCGGCAGGAGCGCCCGCCCTCGGCACGGTCACTGCAATACTGCTCACAGCCCCCGTTCTCGTTCACGCAGACCAGCAGGTCCTTCTTGTCTGAGGACAGAAGGAGACAGACCGAGTGGGACCTCAGCCGCTCAGGGGGAAGCCAGCCCTCACTCAGCACTGGCTATGGTGCTGTGCCGATGCAGCAGAGACAGCCGGGGACCTGCTGGCCCTGTGCTATCGTCCAAGGGGTGACCCGGGGCTGGGCGTGGTCCTGCGTCTGAGCAGCTTAGTCAGCCGGCTCGGAGGACTGGCCCGTGGGGTCTCTGGGCCGCACCCCCAGCCCCTGGTGGGAACCGAGGACGGCCCAGGGAAAGCAAAAGTCCCTTGGGGACAGTGAAAGTGTCCACTGAGAGGGGAGACCTGCTGGCAAGAGGCCCAGCAGAGAGATGGTTTGACAGCCAGGCCCTGCTGCTCCTGTGAGCTGGCCGGGGCTGACCACTGGCGCAGACAGATGGGGATGAGGAACGTTCCTTCTGACTCTGAAGGGCAGTGCTACAGTGCGGGCGACACGGTTAGCTCACGGTGTCTGTCCAGGACCCCAGCAGGAAGGCCTGGCCGGGAAGTGAGTTCACACCAGGGCTCCTAAACATTGTTGTCCCAGGGGAGTCACACGAGGGCTCCTGACCCTCATGGTCCTGGGGGACTCACAGCAGGGACCCTGAGCAGAGAAGGCTGAGCAGAGACACGGAGGCTTTCTAGCCCGATAACTGGTCTCTGGTTTGCTTAGAGCAGAAGGTGGATGAGGCCCAGGATCAGGGCTGTGTGTATAAGAACGTATGCTTGTGTGATAAAGGATTAAATTCACCCAAAGAGCTCCCCGGAGGCGACCTCCACACCCTGGCTGGTTAAGTTGGACATTTTTAATTTAATCTGCCTGATAAGAGTGTTGCTTCCTTGGGGGCCTTGGGCCACACTGGATGGTCTAACAATGTGACTCATGGTGGGGTCTTGGGCCACATGGTGTCCCCTCCACCTTTGGAGGGGCTTGAGACTAAGGTCAGCCATATCTCCAGGACCGAGCCGAATACAGTCTCTGGATACAGAGGCTCAGCGTGGTTCCTGGGGTGGTGGTGACATTCCCTAATTCTTGTCACCCATTGTTCTCGGAGAACGGAAGGGTGTCCACGAGACCCCCTGGGAGAGGACAGTGGGAAGCTCAGACCTGTCCCCCTGCTGACTTTATTTTGTACCCTCGCACTGTCACAAGCTGTAATTTTGAGTAGGTCAGCCTAGAGACAGTTCTACGAGCCCTTTCAGCCAATCGGGGATCCTGAGACGGCCTGAGGAACCGCTGACCTTTGCTCCAGTATTCGAAAGGCGAAAAAACACCACACACTTTTGTAACAGCAGGAAGGGCAGATGCGGTTTTCCCAGCTAGACCGGAAGCTGCCCGCAGCGGAGCCCACACTGGCCTCTCCCGGCGTGTCTGCCTCTGGCGTGCTGGGAGCGCAAGGGCTGTATGGTCCCCGGAAGCGGACGGGGGCCACCGGGTTTGAGAACCAGCACCTTAGATCCAAGACTCTCCCGCTGGCAGGGGACCAGGCCGTGCCCATCAGCCTGCCGGGGCCTCTGTCTGCAAACTGTGGGGCTTCTCACTTGTCTCACAGTTGCGGCCCTGGAAGCTGTCAGGGCAGAAGCAGATGTAGGACTGGAGCTGGTCTTCGCAGGAGCCTCCGTTCTGGCACGGGTTCGAGGCGCACTGGTCCCCGTCTGTGGAGGGCTTCAGTGTTGGTGTGCCGAGGAGAGGGGCTGGCGGGGGGATCCAAACGGGCTGTTTACCGACTCACCGGTGTAAGAAATCCAGAACTGCTCCTGAGGGAATAAAGAAGCAGCAGCGTGAGACACGTCCACCAGCAGCGAATGTGTACGGCGCCCACAAAATGCGCTGTGGGGCTGGAGTGGGCCGTGCTGGGCTCTGGAAGCCAGACTTCTCCTTTGGGGACGAGGTGAGTTTTTCCAGGGGGAGAAAATTTTTTCCTAATCCTATGCCCTCCACCCCAGATCGCTAAGGCCACCAGAGGTCACAAGTTTTCCTTTCCTAATTCGGAATTCTGAGTTTCTGTCCCAACTCTGCCACCTCCAAGACGTGAACTTGGGACAGGACACATGTGCTCTCTGAGCCTCCATCTGCTCCTCAGGTGACGAGGGGTGTGACAGGAGGAGAAGGCCGTAATGCATGCAAAGCCGTTCTATGACGGCTCCGGTGACATCGATTCCTGAGGAATCTTCTGGCCAAGCGAACTGAAACCCAAGGACGTCGTAAGAGTAACATGGGATGAGAATTGGGAGCGATGCTTCGAGAAGCCAAGTAGCGCACAAGTGCAAAGAGTGACCAGCCTCTGTGTACCTGAAATGGGTCCTGTTAGCCTCTGCCTCACACAGCCTCACTTGCTGTTGAGTGAGATATGTCCTGGGAGCGTGAGTGTGAAGTGTCCTGTGTGCGTCCTGTGTGACGTGAGTATCCTGTGAGCGTGAGCTATGTGTCCCTTGAGTGTGAGGTGTGTGTCCTGTGGGTGTGAGTACGCTGTGAATGCGAGGTGAGTGTCCCGTGTGAGGTGTGTCCTTTGTGAGGTGTGTCCCGTGAGCGTGAGGTGAGTGTCCCACGTGAGGTGAGTGTCCCGTGAGCGTGATGTCCCACGAGTGTGAGGTGAGTGTCCCGTGAGGGGAAGTGTGCTTCCGTCTCCTCACAATCTGAGGAGCTGAAGGAGCGGGAAGGGGTGTGCTGCCATCCAGCACGGATCACCTCTCTCAGAAAGGGAGAGGAGCAGCGAGCTCACCCCGCGCCGGGGTCGCGCGTGTGGAGGCCGCGGTGGCTCCCGGAGTGTCTCCTCACAGCCGTTTCCCCGAGGAGGCGGCTGGGGAGGCGCCTCCTGAAGCGCGGAGAGTCTGGGGGTCGGGGACCATCCCGGGAAGCAAGGGACCCACGGAGCGTGCCTGCCGCCCTGGGTTGTGTGATGCGGAGCCGGGGCGCCGCGTGGCAGGGAGGGGGTCGCCTCTGGGGGACCCGGGGGGTGACGGCCGGGCGCCACAGGAGCGCCGCTGACCGGGCGACGCCGTCGCTCCCAGCACAGGAGCGGGGCCGCGGGGGCGCGCGCAGCCCGGGGGGCGCCCCTGCAGGGCACTCACGGCGCGCCGCGGGTCCTGGAAGATCTCCCGGGCCTCCTCCAGCGAGCAGCGCTCCTCGAGGCACTCCCTCTCCAGCGAGCCGGGCCACAGCTCCTCCAGGAACGCGTTGGCGCGCCTCGGCCGGTGCAGGACGCCGTGGGCCTCCCTCTGAGTGCGGAACACTGACCCGCGGGGCCGTGAGCCCGGGAGCCGCCGTGCGGCGCGCCCCCGAGTCCGGCTGCCCGGGCACGAGCGTCGGGCGCCGCGCACCACCCGCCCCCCGCGCGCTCGCTCCCGGCCCCGCGCTCGCTCCCGCGTCTGCCCGCCGCGTCCGGCCCGCGCCCCCGCGCCGCGCTCCGGAGACGAGGTGGGCGGCAGAGCGCGGACTCGCGGACGCACGTGCGGCGGGAACGTGCTGCGGGGCGGGAAGTCGCTCGTCAGCTTCCACAGTGCGGGGCGCGGCGGCCGCGGGAGCCCGTGGGTGGCGGGCGGCGAGTGCGGGGACGCGTGCGGGGTCCTACGGGACTGAGGGGGCGCGGGGGCGTCCGGGCGCGGCCTCGCGGGAAGGGCCAGAAAGGCCTGCGGGAGCACCGGCCGCGGCGACGGGGGTCTCCGTAGAGCCTCTCGGCCCGCGCACCCCGGCCACCCTCCCCAGCGGTCCCCGAGCTCCAGCGCGTCCCCCCCCGCGCCGCGTGGCCACAGCCGCCCCCTCCGGAAGGCCCGTTCCTCGCCTTGCACGGAGGGGCCGCGGCCACCGGAAGCAAAGGCCGCCCGGGACGCCTGCGCGGGAGCGGCGCCGGCTCGTGGCCTTTCCCGGTGGCGGGAGGCCCGCTGACCCCGATGGCCCGCTGACCCCGATGGCCCGAAGCCGCCCGCCCGCCCGGCCGCCGCGCCTCGTCCCTGCTCCTTTCCTGCCGGCCCTTCGGGGGCAGCTTTCCTGCTCCGAGGACGCTTCCAGCCCGCGCCCCCCGCTTCGGCCCCTCCAACCGCTGGACGCTGCGCGTGTCCCTGACCCTCGGTCTCCAGGGCCACCTCCTTGCCAGCTAAGGGACCCACGGGCACAGCCGCCCCTGGGCCTGGCGCCCCAGCCCCGTCCCGCTGGCCTGCGCTTCCCGTCCCCGTGTGCCTGGGGAAAGTCTCCGCCGATCCCTAGAGCCCGTGACCGCCTGCCCTGTCCTGCGCCTGTGACCCTCGCTCACGAGCTTGTGTGGCCGTGGGCCCCTCTCCCGGCCCTGACCTTCTGCCTACTTCCAGCCTCTTCCGGTGACCCCACTAGCTGCTTGCAGGCAGCTGTCCCCCATTTTGCTATGAGGACCAGGGTGGGTGGGGCTCAGGGCGCTGGAAGGCCACTTCGGTGGGGACTGGGGCCATCAGAGCACCAGCTTGGATCTGAGATTTCCTCTGGACGCCCAGCAGACATGCAGACCGTGTCATCCTAAGAGAGGGCCCAGGGACGGAGACGCAGACACCGACGTTGCGACAACCGTACAGACACCGAGGCTGAGGCTGGGAAACCCCATGGGACCCTCCGGGGCACGCTTGCACTGCTGGGGGTGGGCTGTGGGGGAGCAAAGCCAGGGCTGAGCGGCAGGAGCAAGTGGGAAACTGAGTCCCCGGGGGAGGTGAGTGCGGCCTGGAGACCCGCAGATGCGGCTTCCGGGAAGGGCTGTGTGCGTCCGATCGGACCGGGCAGGTTCACAGGATGGGACGGGCAGGAGGGGGCGGGGCAGCTCCCAGGCGGAGGCTGAGGGGAGGCGTCTCTCTTGACCACCACCGCCTTTTGCGCTCGCGTGTTCCTGGGGAGCCTGCCTGGTCTGGAAGGACGGGTTGAGGGAAACTCGAGAACTCGCAGGTGCAGGGGTTCACACCAGCTGGAGGTGCCCAGAGCGGGATCATCTCCCCTCGACCCGCCGTGGACAGCAAGCGTGCCCCAGACAGGCCTCGGGAAGCAGAGGCAGGTCTGATAAATGTGGGGAATCGGTGAAAGCAGAGCGGGGGGTGGGGGGCGGCCCCGGCCAGCACCGTCCTCCTGCCCCAGGAAGGATGAAGGCAGCCCTGCCCTCCCTACCGCAGATGTGCTGTCCCTCGGGTGCCTGCAGGAGTGTGGCTGGCACTGTCCCACCCGGGCTAGCGGCTGGCATGGGACAGTGGCTGCCCGTGTCGCCAGCACGGCCACCCTGCTGTCCTGGCAGGTCTCCGTGGGGCCGCTTATAAGCACGTCCCTCTGTCTCCGTATTTAGCCCCTTAGTGCCGTGGTGGCCGGAGGGTGTCTGCCGTCACAGCTGTGTCCCCGCCCCATCCCTGGTACCAGCCGACCGAAGAGCGGGAGAGCACAGCGGGAGGGGGACGCAGAGGCCAGTGGCCCGACAGCCCTCCACGTGGCTTGCAGGGGACCCTCCACCCCGACGTACCTGTGGCCAGGGAGCCCTGCAAGCCCAGGAGAAGGCAGAGGAGGGCCAGCTCGCCCGCCTGGGAAGCCATGCTGAGACCTGTGGGGTCACGCGGTCTGTGGACATTCCAGGGGTGGGGGGGGCGGGCAAAGTCCTGGCCTCTGAGCTCTGCAGAGGGGTGGGGGAGGGAGGACCGGCCTCCCAAGCGCAGGGGCAGGGCGGCGCCAGGTCCCTCCGGCACAGCCGTGTCTGCAAGGAGGGGGCTCCCACGCGGAGACAGCGGTGTCGGACATGTGTCGACCACACGCACCTAAATGCCCTTGGGAGCCCCGAGGCCCCTGGGACTTAGCACGGCAGCCGGACTCAGCACGTGGAAAGCCGCGCCGTGGTAGTAACTCCGGGGAGAGGAGAGAAGATCTGGGGTGTGGATGTCAGTGTTCCCAGGAGGGCTGCCGCGGACACCGACGCAGGGCCTCTCAGCCAGGGGGCCTCGCTTCCTGGGTGAGCCATGGAGCCTTATGGAACGGGGCGGGGGGGGGCTCCCGCCATCCTGGGCCCGGGCCACCCGCCGAGTGACCCTTCATCCAGGGTTGGCAGAAGGCACGGCTTTTTTCGGGATGTCAGGCTTCCCTTGCCGAGTGGGACTATCCTGGGCCCCCGGCACTGTCGGTTACCGCAAGACTGACACGGGCATCCAGCCTCCAGCGGTGTGGGCTCCGTCCTCGGCAAAATGGCAGAGGCCAGGCGCCAGCTGGGCTCATCTCTGGGTGGGAGCCCCACGGCCCTGCTCTTTACCACAGGGCCTCAGCTCGAACCCCCGAGGGGAAGCACTGGTCGCCAGGGGAGGACAGGTGGCTCACTTCTGCAGTTTCTGGTTGTTACTTTCAGCAGTTGCTTGGGAATTTGTTCTTGGGGGAGGGAGCTGGCCCTTTCGGCAGGCACCGGAGCGGGGCCTTCTTGGGGGCGGGGTCCCCCGGGCGCCCCAGATGCAGCAGCCACTCTCAAATGAGACTCCTGGGTGTCCGGGCTCCATTTCCACCCGGCACGAGAACTGGTTCATTCCTAAGTCTGCGTTACCAAATTGGGCTGCTGTGTCCTCTGGGAGGTGGAGGGGCTGTGGGTCCTGGGCTGGTCCATGAACAAGCAGCTGTGAGTCGGGCCTCAGAGGCCGCAGGCCAAGGTGGGTGGAGTGCCCCAGGCACGCTCCCTTGGCCCCAGGAGCTGCCTGGCATAGACCGAGCTAGGGCCTTCCCGGACTCCTGGGGGCCTGGCTGGGGGCCACTGGGACTCCCACACTGAGAATCTATCCTCTGCCAGCTCTGGAGGCCACAGGTCCTGGAGCAAGGGGTCTGCGGCCGGGCCTGGTTCTCTGCAGGCTCAGCGGGGGACCTGCCCCTTCCAGCCGGGGGCTTTGGGGAGCCTGCAGACATTGCACTCCAGCCCCGGCCTCAGTCAGCACAGGGCCTCCCAGTTGTGCGTCTGCCCCCTCTTCTTACAGAGATGCCATCCATCCTTGGGTCGGGGCCTGCTTGGGGTCACCCATCTGGCCAGTTACAGCCGTGACGGTTCTGCTTGCGAGAGAGGCTGTGCTCCGGCCTGCTGGGCAGATACAAACACAGGGAGCTCTCTCACTCCCGTGTCGCTGTGCCTCGAGCGGCTCGGGGTCTGGGGCTGTTCTCGGAGCAGTGTGAGCAGCGTCCGACTATGGACTCGGGCCGACCAGCCGGGAGAGGCAGGAAAGAGACGCTCCTTCTCCGACTGCCCAGAGCTGTGGGGAACAGGTTTTCATGGACAGCACCTGCCAGTGTGGATTTGGGACACACACTGGAGCCCTCAAGCCCATGGCTGGTCCTCCGGGGGGTTCGCGACAGCAGAGGGCAGCGGGGGGGGGCCTTCGGTCCGTGAAAGACAGTCAAGTGCAGGCAAATATCCGTTCTACCCTGGCCCGCGTGGCAAGCGGAGGCAGAACGGGGCGGCCAGCGGGAGAAGGGCGGTTCGCGCAGCCCCGTGTGCTGTCTGGCACCAGAGGGCTGGGCTCGGGGAGCAGGACCCTGTCTGCACCCTTCGCTCATGGCCACACGGTCCATTGAGGGAGGCAGGCCCACGACAGCACAGGGTTGGGTCTTAGACTGGCGCCTGGCCCGTGGGTCTGAGGAGGGGCTCCTGGGGGGGGGTCAGTGCTTGCGACATCTCTGCTCTGGTCTCTACTCCCAACCCGTGAGTGATTCGGTTGTACTGCGCCTCTTAGCAATTATCCATTGCATCTGATCTGATCCCCTCCGAACAGGCTGGCGTAGCAAGATTCTGGTGTGTGGGTGAGCGCAGTGTGGACTGGCCTCCGTGTTCCTTGCTGTGGGTCACGCTTCCCTTCCCCCCATCCCCCCCACCCGGACCCTGCCTGGCTCAGAAGTCACCACTTGGACTCTCGTTCCAAAACGGTGATTTCCCCTTTCCTCTGTTACCTTTACATGGTCAACACAATATGCATGTTATTTCCATCATTTCTTGACAAAATGCAGCGTGTGGGTCACCGTCTGGGTCATGCTCACGGCCGGCCACGTTTCCCGTGGGAGCTCGCGGTGCTGCGTGGACCAGTGTGAGCTCGATGTGCGTGGGGCGGGCGGAGTTCTGTGCTTTTACAGACGAAGGCAGACCGCGAGAGGGGCTGATATTTATTCAAACTCCGTCCATACAATAAAGAACTCTGACTTTTAGATTTCACTTACATCAGCAGGAAAAAAAAAAAAAAAAAGACCTGGAATGATACAAGAAGCAGTGACGGGAACAGGAGGTTTTAAAGTGCCTTAACGAAGAGAGGACCCCAGCGTGGTGATGCCGCCAAGGTGGCCGGGGCGGTGGGGGGCTCCGGCTGAGCAGCCCACGGAGGAAACCGTCAGACACGGCCCGTCCCACGCCTAGACGCCGAGGAAGTCCGCAGAGACACATGGAGGACGGCCACCAGGGGCCTCGCGGGCGGCGGGCGCGGGGCTCAGGAGGGTTGTGAGCGACAGTTTCCAGCGTGTCCCTGACACGGGACCCCTATGTACACACCCACACACGCACACATAGAAAACTGTCCGCCCCCGGCAGATTCAGACCGTGTTTCCAAAGAACAGAATTTGTTTCTGAAACAAAAATGTGAAACAGAAGTGTTTTCTTTCGGTCCTGCCTCGGTTTCGGTAACGGACTCCTTGCGTTTCTGAGTTCAGGGGGTTGACCGAGCGCAGGCGGTGGCCGCGGAGGTCGGCAGAGGCTTGCGGTTTCCCCAAGGCCCGTGTGGGGACTGCTTCACACAGTACCCAGCAAAACCACACTTCACTGATTCTTTAAAAACAATAAAAAATCCCAATTCTGTGAAGCTAGTTAAAAAAATCAAGTTCCCCATTTTTTTTTGGTAAAAAAGAAGCTAAATATTTTAACTTAGAGTTTAAATTTTCTTTTGAAAATTAACTTACACAGATAAGGGCATCTCCGTGGTTTCCACTGCTGTTTGTAGAAACACTGCTGGATTTTACCAGGGGCCCGCTCCCAGGTGGGTTTGGGGGGGCTCCGGTCCCCCTGAGAGCCCCAGATCTCCCAGCAGTACGAACAACGTGCTGTCCTGTAAACTCCGGTAACAGAAAATACTTTTATATCAAATACAGTATCAAATTGTCATTTCATGTAAACACAGTGATTCTTGGTAAAGATTAGCGGCCAGAGTACCACAAAAAATGGCCATGGAATTAATCCCTGCTTTAAAAAAAACTTGTAAAAGACAAAACAGTCACCCCACCAAGCTGCTGGGTCAGTGGACTCCTCTCTCCCACAACACACTTGCTCCTGCAGGAGGCACCGGACCAGCAACGCCGGGACCACACCGAGCGGCCAGGACTGGCTCTTGGCGGCGGCCTGGCGCCCTCCGTCCGTCCTGGTTTTCCTGGAAAGCTCGGTGCACTTTGGTCTTCCCATGCACCTGGCTTCTGCACCATCTTCGGGGCTGGTCCTGGTGTGGAGGCCGGAGGGCAGACTTCCAGAACCTTCTCTCTGCAGCCACTGCATCTGCACCTCAGAGCTCCATGGGCAGCGGGCGGCTCCTCAGTGGGGTCTTGGCAGGGTCCTCATTCCCCAGGGTCTTAGAGCACCGTCCCCTCACCAAACTAAGCAAGCCCAAGCAAAGGAAAACTTAGAGGCTCGCAGGCTGCTGTCCTGCACGGCCCAGCGCTACCCCTGGAGCTCTGAGAGGGGGACCCCACAGCTCTCGCCGCAGCTGGAGGAGGCACTCAGCAGGGTGGACCCCGCACTGGACTCTGCAGGAAAACCAGGCGAGAACGGCTGCGGCTTTGAACCTGCATGCTCCCGCGCATGGCTGTGAACACCCGCGGGCTCGGGGCGCGGCCCGCACGGGGCAGGGGTCTTACCTGAGCTGCTCAGGCACTGAGCTGAGCCGGATGTGCAGAGGAGCGAGGCCAGGCTGTTGGCCGGCACCCAGCTTTCCTTGCTGGAGGTCAGGTTCCTGACATACCTGAGAAGGCGTGGGCCGGTCAGGGCTCCAGCTGTGTGCCCCACACCTGCCCTGGGGGGTCTTGGGCCCGACCCCTTCCCTGCCCCTCGCAGACATCTTACCAAAGGCCCTCGTCACCCTCCTGTACCACCTCCACCACGTCCCCACTTCTCACAGCAAACGCGTCGGGGCTTCCCTTCTCGTCGCCCAGCACGACCGTGTACTTTCCTGGAACCTGGGGTCAGAGGACACAGCAGGTCAAACAGCACAGTCTGCGGCCCCCACACTGAGCAAGGGTACATGGCTGTCTGCCGCAGGCCGGGGCCTAGGTGGGCGTCCAGCACCCAAAAACAGGAGAAGGAACACGAGCATTTCATGAGGGCCCTGCTGTTTGTGGGGCTTCTGATGGAACTGTCACCTTAAATGGGGAAGAACCGGTCATAGGATATGTCAAGTCTCTTACTGCGACCATGTTAAAAACCCAACTAAATTCCAAAGTGCCCCTGACTCACACCTGGTGATCCCGCCTCACGGCAGCACCACCTACTCCAGCCGGTCTCAAACACTCCAAAGGCATCCCTCAGCCCCAGGACATTTGCATGTGCCGCTCC